AGTAAAAGCCTCCATGCTAAGGTCCTCCACCATTGTGAAAGGCTACGTGGCCGTATTTGTGTGTTTCACGACAAAGGCGGTTCACCTTGAGCTGTGCTCTGATTTAACAACAAACGCATTTCTCGCCGCGTTTGCCCGTTTTGTTGGGCGTCGAGGCTATCCAGCAAGAATGATGAGCGACAATGGCACTACTTTCATTGGAGTCAAAAGAGTAACAGAGAAGGAATTCTGTAGTTTCCTGCAAGAAGTCTCTCAAGACATCGTCAAGCAATACTCTCCCCAAGGCATTGATTGGAGATTTATCCCCCCTGGCAGCCCTCACATGGGCGGATTATGGGAATCCGCCGTCAAAAGCCTCACGTTACATCTCAAATGAACGGCTGGAGCACACAATCAATTCACGTTTGTAGGATTCACCACTCGTTTAGTTACGATAGAAGCGGTATTAAATTCCCGTCCCATCTCCGCTCTCTCCTAAGATCCAACAGAGTTCACGGCCCTCACCCCTGGCCATTTCCTAAGGGGAAGGGGAACTGCCCTCCTGTCTCTTCCGGAAGTAGATCATAGCAATTTGTCTCTCCTCAATAGGTGGGAAAAAGTTAAAGTTATGCACCATCAATTCAGCCGCCGTTGGAAGGAAGATTATCTCAAAGACCTTCCGAAACGTTAAAGGGGTAAAGACACTAAAGTTTCACCGAAAGCTGTAGAATGCGTCCTCATTATAAATGACATGTTGCCGCCCACCGAGTGGCGTCTTGGACGCATCGAAACGACCCATGCCGGTCCAGATAGACATATTAGCGTAGTTGACGTACGCACCAAAACCGGCATACTCACTCGGACGATTGTAAAGCTATGCCCTTTGCCATCCGAAAATGTCCCTCTAACCCCCACCGCAGATAACTAAACAACTTTTCACCGACCGTACTACACCCGCACTGCTTGCCTACATTTGTTTATTACAGTTACTTGACAGGCAATACACGTATATGCTTATCCCTCTGTTTGATTAACAACTGTTTAACATCCCACTATTAACCTACTCGAAAAACCCCTATTTGCAGATGGAGATTGATATCCCTCAGCCCGCACCACGCACATCGTTGACGGCAAGGGCGCTCGCGCCCGTAAGTGAACCTGTACGCGCCACAGAGACCGCCGTGGAACAACTTCCCCCGGACGACACGCCCGTAACTAACTTCCAGCAGTACCGTCTATGTACGCGCCGCCACGCTCTCCGAGTATGCAGCGTTTTCCGGGCCCTACAGCCCCAGCAGAGGGTTACAATCGCGCGCGCGCACCGATATTGCCTTCTCACACCGGACCGTGGACAGTTCCTACAATGGGAACTGCCGAACGTGTGGACAGTTCCACCATACGCTTCTGTACCGCAGCGAGGCCAACGCATCTAGTCGCCGAACCATGCACTCAGCACAACCTCCAAAGGGAGTCCATCGAACAAAGAACACATTTATGAAATTTCAGCGCAATCACCGCGCCATCAATGGCCCTCGTTTTCTCCGCCCTTCACTTCAGAACACACGCTCCGTTCAACGCTGGCGAAACATCGTGCAGCACAAATAACGCCCCGTGCAACGCAGTCATCGCAGCGCCTATCAAGGCAAGGCCACTAAGCTGCAGGTGCACGAAGCCATGCGCACCCTCAAAGAGTTGAAGGATATACTAGCCGCTTGGCGCATCTGTGCGGGGCTGGATGGCTACGCGAGTATAGCCCAGCGAGTCACATCAGTATTTGAATTACGTTTTCGAATTGTACCTATGAATTGTATTGAATTGAATTGTATTTGAATGAATTTCACCTTTTTTGAATTTAAAATGTATATACATCCTACATATATAAACATGTTATGCGTTAATACCACCACACCGAGGGAAATAATGCATAGTAAAAATGAATACTTTATATTTGATTATCGTTTAAAAATGTTCGCATTTAAAAATAATATTTTCATACAAAATTTATTACGTACGTATTTGACTGTTCACATCTGAGTATATATATGAGTGTACATACGCACCCCAGGCATGCAGAGCGCCGCTCTGAGAGCGGTGACAACACACACATCCATACATAGCATGATTCAATAATACAAGGTTAGATAATTATTGACAGCCACGGTTTGACACTCCCCTACAAAAGGTTGCATTTACGAAGGACGGAGGAAGGAGAAGAATGAAATCCCTTGGTGCGAAAATGGTAGTAGAAAACTACGCAAAGTCGGCAATTAGTAGTGAAATTCCTTTTGTAAATTCCAACGTATTTGCAGGAAATCTGGCATTTTAAACGAAATATGGTCTCAGAATTAAAATAAAACTACTATGAGATTTAAGTAAACATCCAATTTAAAAACAATTTATGTTTTAATCAGTTAAATGTGCTTCATATGCATATACAAATAAACATATTGCACAAAAGCTTATTCTTCTAATTCACACCAAAGCTACACTTTTCCCAAGTGAATTTGCAAAGAAGCAACACGGTGCCGCTGCTAAGGGAGCGGTGCGAGAGAGACAACTGTCAGTTTATCGAACCTTGTATTATTAAATCATGATATATGACTGCATACCAAATTTCAAGTTCATGTGACTTACAGTTTCGAAGTTATGGCTGATTAAAAATTTCCCGCCTATGGGAGGTGCCACGCCCCCTTGTCGAATCCCAATTTTTTACCTTATTATAGGCCCAGGTGTCATGGCAATACTCTGTCAAAATTTTGTTCGATTCTGTCCGTCCGTTTAGGCTGCAACCTGGCACATATATTCATACATACATACTTCCACAAATATATAGTAGATATATCCTTCTCTTAGCGTAACATAATTTTTGGGGATGTCTCGGCCACAGGGCCACCTATCGTGTAAGTTTCAAGTCCAAATATTTCTTTTAAATTGGCTAAATTGTTTTCTAAATATGAGCCAAATCAGCAAGTAAATACAATTTTTATGAATATCCCGACCCCAGCGCCACCAAGCGATTAAATTTTTAGTCAAAATATTTCTCTTCAAGGTGCTGAAATATGTTCCAAATATGAACGAAATCGGTCCAGCCGTTTCGTAGTTTAGTGACATTCAATATACGGAAAACACTATGAAATTGTGTAATCGTGACGTCTCAGCTTTCTTCATTTTTCGGCAACAACAAAAAATTAAAAATTTTTTTTAATCAAAGAACCTTCCATACAGAAGGCCCAAAAATGTGCTTTTTACAGAATTAAAATCGGTTCAACCGTTCGGTCAGGCATCGCCGTCATAGGAAAGACATTTTTATATATATAGATTATCGTCGACAAAAACGTTGTTTTATATGTTTTTCGTGATTGTAAACTTTTGCAGGCTAAAATTTTTTCCAGCATGAATTTGCAACTTCTCTCCAGGAGAACTGTCACTTTGCGCACAGTTTTTGAGTGATGGATAATTTTTTGGTCTGCACAAACGCGATTTGGGCAAAAATCATGATAATTCGTAAAATTTTTTTGCTCGTCGAACAAAACTATTGCTAAGAAATTAAATTCTATCCAAGTACCGATTTTAAGGCTTTGATTTTTAGTATTTCGTCCCGCTAGATTCTTAGTGGTCGGAATAAGTAGGCACTAAAAACTCTTGGATATCAACATTCATAAATATTTACAATTTTTTTAGGAATCCATCCACCATATTGTATCTCTCATTTTGAGTATTTAAAAACTGATTTCAGGTTTGTAATGAGCGAATCAAAGAACCTTCTCATATTAAATTTTAAAAAATATCTATCCACCTTTTGAATTTTTAAAAATTTATTTCAGTTTTGTAATCAGCGACAGCGAAAGAACCTTTGGATATCAAATTTCATAAAAAGCTGCAAATTCTTTTTAATCCATCCATCATTTTGAATTTTTTAAAGCTCAGTAAAGCTCGGAATCTCATGCAAATGCCTGTTTTTATTGGGCACCTTCAAATGGAAATGGTTTTGTTATCTTTACGAATCATGAAGTTTCCTTTAAAATGGCATTCAATCGTTAGTGCATATATTTGCATATTTACATATTTTGCAAAAAAAAAAACGCTTTTGCATATTCCAACGCATATTTTAGTATATTTTGCAATAAATGTATAAGGTTTTCGCATATTTTTGCTTTTTTTTATTTACAACCATTTAAATTTACCTGTTAGATCTCAATTAGTGGAACCCTGTAGGAGAGATCTGACCTATATCTCTGATCAATGCGAAATTACCCTAATATGAGTCCTGGGGCATAATAACATTTACGGAAACGAGGCAGCGGACGAACTAGCACGGTGCGGCTCCGCACTGGATATGTCCCGCGCGGTGGACATGGGCGCTGCAGTATGCACAGGGCACTGGCCCGTTGGGGTACATTCCGAAAGGTTTGGATTGACCTTCAAAAGGTTTCGTCATGGTTGCGACGACCCTGGCGAGACATTCGAACACTTCCGGTGCGAGTGTCCAGCCCGCAAGAATAAGGCTAAATACACTCTGCAAGCCATTCCTGCAGAATGTTTACGAGTGCAGCTGCCTCTCCCCGTTTTCGTTATTTTCTTGTTAAAATGTATTATTTATTTATTTTTACTGGCAAAAAAATATCAGGAAAATATTTTTAATCGCATTGTTTATAGCGCATATTTTTTAATTTTTAGTGCGTATTATATGCGCATATTTTTGATTTTATAGTGCATGCGATTCCGGGCCCCCAGTAATCAGCAACCCCAACACTTTTTGGATGCGAAGTTTAATAAAGTTTAAAAAATCAAAAGGCAAATTTCTTTTGGCCGATTCAGCCTAGGGGTTATTAAGGGTTGTTTTTCTCCATAGAATGGAGTACAACAATGTTTAATTTGTCGGACGGTGTTATGGTTAGTTCATACCTTTTTTTATCATATTATGGGTGGCACTTACCTTTGTTGTATTAATTTGTTCAGGAACAAGGCACTTTTCCATAAAACTTATAAATAAGATGTCCATATAATGCAAACGGTAAAAATTTAGTTAATGGATGTTTTATATTATCATCTAGTCGCGCAAAATTACAAATTTACTAACAATGTTTCAGAACTATGTCAATTTGACTTAATATCTAAGCCTCCCAGGGCGCTTTCTAAAACCGAGATTAGTTTATCGTTGCTAGAAATTTTCGATGATTTTGTGGTTCGCATTGTGGCATTCTCCAATGCCCATTGCGCCATTTTTTGGGCTTCCCTACGTTTTGATACCACGGCGCGGGAATTGGCTATGTAACTGCAACACTGAAAAAATATATTATAATATGAATTCATGACGATAAAAATCATCTACTTACAAGATATAGCCCATATAGTGCCCGCAAGTTATTTGGATTTAATTTGAGAGCTTGCGAATAATAGGTGCGAGCGATTTCCACATTCTCGATTCCACCCTAAAATCAAAAATAGAATTATCATATATGTATATTCCCTTATGTATACACATATTCAGTACACGTCGAAATAATAAGGTTGTCCTGATATTATCTAGCAGAATACAAAACGATTTTTGTTTTACCACGGTTATATCAACTCGCAGTAATGTAGTGGTTAAAAGTGCGCAATACCATTCCGCAGGGCGTGGAATCGAGCCCAGTTTCCGACTAACATCAACAACAAAAGAAAAGAAAAAAAATTTTATAATCGCGGTAGCCCCGGCATGTTTCATGGTCGGTTTCACACTGGAACAGTTCTGCCACGAGAACAACTCAGTTTGTAGGCAAGAGAGGCAGTGCGGTGAGGTAAAGTTTCTCAAAATGTTGTTCCAGCTTCTACCCCGCATTAAAGTGGCAGTTCTGCTGCAGCGCACCAACACATGCGCAACTACGAAAATGCCCCCTGAAGGAAAGATGGGTCCAATTGCTCGAAAAATATAGTCGTAGGTATAGTAGCTTTGTAACTAGACCAAAGATAGTCCAAAAATTTAAAGCAATGTAATGTAAAACAGGTGAATTGTACTGAAAGTGGTCCAAATGTAATGCGTAAGGTATGAGTTTTGATCTAAAACTGGTTACAATGTCATGCAATTGCGGAAAACGGGTACAATTAACGACTTGCTGATATGTAGGCACTTAGTCAGCAAATTTTCATGTGCGACTTTGGCAAGCGGAGAGAGTATCCGCTTAGAAAATCTGAGAACCCCGGTTCGAATCGAGGCTGGCGCAAGTTTTATTTTTGTTTTTTCCCAAAATTGGTTACAATGTAATGCAAAAGCGGACAATTGGTCCGAGCCTAGGACATTCAGTGTTAAATGTAAATAGAATTTTACATGTTGTTGGACCAAACTTTGGACTAGTTACAATCACTTGCAGTCTATTTTGTGGTGTACTCTAAGCCTATTCCGAGATCCACAGGGTATACACATTTTATTCTGCTGTTGTTCTGCTAGTTTTCATCCAGTGTGAAATCATGAGAATTATGTGTTCGATTATAGTGTGAAAGAGCCCAATTCGATTTGATTCGAATTTTTTTGAACTTTCAAAATAAATATTTTTATTAAAAATCTAAATGTTTGTTTGTAAGAATGATAACACAATTCGAAAAAGAGATTCAGTTGAACTTATATTAATGTGATTAACTATCCATATCGCTCTTCTTAGCTTCACAACCAAAAATAAATACAAATAATATTTTTTTTTTTTTTTAAAGTATCTCAAAAAAATATCAGAAAATCCTAAAATTTAGCAAATGTAGCATATTGAAACTAATTTTTTAGGACGTATAACGTGATTTTATTTATTTTTCTTGCTTTACACAACCTACCTAGATCTCTATATACTTCACGATAAATACACTGAGAAAAAAATCAACCAAAAAGTGGTTAATATTACCAAATTCAAACTTGAAAAGGAACCAACTTGATTTTAGGTTAATATTAACAATGCCTTGGTGGATATTTTTAACATTTATTTGGTAATGTTAACCACACTTTTGTTTACTTTAACCAAACTTTTGGTTGTCAATTTTTCCGTTTGAATACACTTATGTTCTGCACTTCACAGATGCTTTTTCATAATTTGGAGATACAAAACAAAAATTTTTATTTTCGTTTCAACACGTTGCCTCTGGCGGAATTTGTACCCGCATTTTCTGAAAGCTAGCATATAACAGCAAGCATCTCTGCAAACTCAGCTACAGTCGCTTTATAAATGTGTCTTCAAATGTTCAGGTTAGGATAGGTTAGGAGGGCGTGAGTAGAATAATCTATACTTTCACTCGGAGACAGAATTGTCCATTGTGAGTGCCCTCTTTTAGTGAGTATCAGAAGGAGACACATACCTATATCGAAAGAGTACCTTTAAGTCATTACTGAACCAATTACTATCCCTGATGAGGCCGAGGAGACCCAAGAGTTCCACCTCTGCTACTTCGCCCAGACTGTTGAAAAAGCGTGAACCCAAGTACTTGAGTCGCTCCGTCTGTAGACCTGGATATCGACACAGATACAAGAATGATAGAATACAAGATTGAATGAGAATGTGCCGAATGAGTGTCCGGCATGCGGAGAGACCCCACATGACTCGAGACATCTCTTCGCATGCCCGGAAAACCCGACAACCCTAACGGCCTTGTCCCTGTGGACAAACCCCACAGAAGCTGCACGCTTCCTAGGGTTGCCGTTAGTGGAACTTGACGACAACGACTGAGATACCAACCGTCCTGGGCGGGGTTGTTGTAGCCGCTACAACAACAACAACAACAACAAGAATGCGCCGATTGCAGCAGAATTGAGTAATGAGAGTAATTTTGGCGTGACGTCATCGTAGAGTTAACAACTGAGAGCGGCGAGAATAAGCTGTCATAATTAGTGCTGCCAGTTTAGCCGTTTTCCGGCAAGGTTTAGCCGGTTGCGATAGCAAACAGCCGGAGAAAATTCGATTTAGCCAGCAGCCGATTTGTTAGCCGTTTTGCAAAAAAAGTTAGCCGATTGCGCTATTTACCGTATTTTATTAAAATTGAAATTAGACTGCATCACCAAAAAAAAGTTGCGCTTTTTCCGCCGGGATTGCAAAATTTGTTATATTTTATGACGTCCACCAAAATATATCGGAAAAATATTAAGATTTAATCGGGCTGGACCGATTTGAAAATACCTCCAAAAATGGAGTTTCTTATGAATAAAAATAGTTTCTTAAAGAACTCTTTGAAAAAGGTCTCCTCAGATGACAAAAGAGATTCGGCTTAAAAAATCTGCATAATATTTAAAAATCTTTTCAACGGAATCGTAATAATGAGATTTTTGATGCTGTTTTTTTACTTTTATCAAAGACTGATTTACGAAAAACTGGGCCAGTGGGATCGTCGGTTCGAATCCTACTGAAAGAAGTCTGATGAGGAAATGTGGTGATTTCCGAAATAGCTATCACTTCCACCATTTTTTCAAATTATTGTTGCTTTTCCACAATAAGTTTTTCATTAAAAACGGCCTCAAGCTCAATAAAAATAGTTGAATATAATTGTTATAAGGCCATAAAATAACAAAAACAAATAACTTAAGTACGAGCATAACTAAAAGCTACACATTCTAATAATAGAATTATTAACAAAAACCAACAAGCGTTTTAGAACGCTCGACATTTGCAGTGCTGCCATATTAGCATTTCTGAACGTTCTGCTGGTCGTGCAAAAGCAGTATGCGCATTATACTGCATTACTGAACACACCCTTATATGGTGTTTGTTAAGTAATCAGCTAATTTTTAATAAAAATAATAATAAACATTAAATAAACTAAATAAAAATAGGCAAAACTTGCTAAAATCTCGCGTCTCATTTTATATTTGGGTCACTTTATTTTTTCCAAAGAATGGCTTAAATTTAAGTGCGAAGTTTTATTAGCAACACATGGAAAATAATGGAGAGAATAAAAGAGCACGAACATCGATGTGAAGCACAACTCTCTGGGAAGACAATACCTGTGTATAATTGTATCATGGTGCCAACATACGTTATTGTTTCTTATGATTGCTCTCAGACAGGCATGTGAGAGAATGAGTTGGACATTAAAAACAGGAGTCTCGATAATATGGACATCAAAATACAATTAGATAGTGAAATTGTTAAAAACTTAAAAAGCGACCGGCTTATTCGATATAAATTAATGACATTTTCTTTTCTCGAAATAATGTTGGCCTCTTTTCTTCAGCCCTTTCACAGCTTCACGTGTTCATTTTTCAAAATATTGCCCTCCGACTGAGCAAAATACTTTCTACTAATATTGGGGTAAGGCTTAATCAAATGGGTCCCGAATTTCTTCTTCTTCTTATTTGGTGCTGTAACAAATCACGCCAGTCGTTTGTTTTCTGTGCCAACTGGTGCCAATTGGAAATGCCAAGTGAAGCCAAGTCCTTTTCCACCTGGTCTTTCCATTACAGTGGGACCCTTCCTCTTCATCTGCTACCAACAGCGGGTTCCGAGTTGAATACTTTCAGAGCGGGAGCGTCGGTGTCCATTCGAACGACATGACCAAGCCAGCGGAGCTGCTGTATTTTAATTCGCTGACCTATATCCATGTCTTTGTAAAGCTCATACAGCTCATCGTTCCATCGTGTGCGGTACTCGCTGTCACCAACGCGTAAAGGCCCGTAGATCTTCCACAAAATCTTTCTCTCGAATACTCCAAGAGCCGCCTCATCGGATGTTGTCATTGTCCATGCTTCTGCGCCATATACCAGCACGGGCATGACGAGTGACTTATAGAGTGTGGTTTTCGTACTTCTAGAGAGGACTTTACTCCTGAATTGCCTACTCAGCTCAAAGAGGCACTTGTTGCCAAGAGTGATTCTGCGTTGGATTTCCATGCTGACATTATTATCGGTGTTAATGCTGGTTCCCAAGTAAACGAAATTCTCTACTTTCTCGAAATTATAACATGGGTGCCAAGCCACGAATGTGCTGTTTGTTTGATGACAGGAGATACTTCGTCTTGTCCTCGTTTACCACCAGACCCATTCGCTTGCTTCCTTATCCAAATTGGAAAAGGCAGAACAGACTTCGGCATAAGCCAGCAATTGCACGCTCTTATAGTAAATTGTTCCTGAGCGGTTCAGTTCTGTAGCTCTTATTATCTTCTCCGACATCAAATTAAAGAAGTCACATGAACTGTCGGTGCTGATACCATTCAGTATCGTGGAAAAGTGTCCCGTCCATAATTTAATTACGTTCTGAACATCGGTAACTGAGTCGCCTTTGTGGTTCTTACAGGAGTACGCCCTGGTCTTGAAACCTTCCGTAAGTCGCCTAACTCTCTGGTAAAATTTTCGAGCATTCTTCCTGTCGGCCAGCATTTCAAGCTCTTCGCACTCACGTATTTCGGCCTCTCTTTTTATTGCGGCAAATACGTCTCGCTTCCCTCTTCAGATGCGGGCATGCGAAATTCGAACATGAGAAATAAA